AAAAAAAAAAAAAAAAAAAAAGTCAAGGCCCTGAGCTGATCCATCAGAGAGCTACTAGGCAGGTCAAAACACACACCAACAATTCTTTAAGAACAATGTTTGTATTGCCTCCCTGACACCCCTGGCACCAGAAAACCACACCTGGAACACAGTCCCCAGGGCTGCCTCTGAGCTGGGATGATCGGCGGGTACCTTCAAAAGCTAGATTGTAATCTTCCAGAAATTTAGCAGCTTCTTTCTTCATTAAGCATTCCCCTGGTTGTTGTTAGTTTTTTATTAGATTCCAAAGTTCTGTACAGGTTGGTCCTGACACTTTTTGGCAGCTTAATTTTTGCTTTTGTGAATGGACAGACTGGTGGGGTTCCCTACTCTCAGGTATGGACATTTTTACAGTTATTTTTATATTGATAGATTGCCCTCTAAAAAGAATATTCCATCTTATAGTGCCAAAAGCCATGCATGTCCTCTCAGCAATGTCAACATTTGTTATAAACTTTCAATTTTTTGATTATTATCAACAAATTGTTCATAGTCATGTTGATTTCAATTTATTTCAATATTGTTAATTTTGAACCCTTGTTGAGTTAGTGTTTGTTTTTCTGTAAACAGTTGTTTCCTTTGGTCATTAGGCTCAACTCTTAAGCTTGCTCAGGTATTAGCCTTCCACCTGCATTTCCGTTTACCTGAGCCCAGGCTTGATGTGGTGAGAGAGGTCTTTGTAAGTGGCATGGTCCATCCTAGCTGGGGACAGGCAGCCCCTAACACTGGAGGAGGTTTGTTGGACCAGACCTGGGTCTGTTGGCATCACTCATTCAGCAGAAATACACTAAGCCCTACTGAGTGCTGGGACAGCTGGGCCCCAGCCCTTGTGGGCAAATGGCTGGACAGGGGTGACATCAAATAAGCAAGGTGCTCAGGATGTCATCTCAGAACATGGTTTTCCTGCTGAGCCACACTAGTTTCCATTTTATACAGGTTTTTAAAATGATAATGTTCTTACACTTGCCCAGCACATCCTTGAAATGAGAGGTCAGATTGAGCCCCCGTCACCTCCGCAACTTGATCTTTGTGGTGCATGTGCTCAGTCCCTGGATGGAGGTGGAGGGGATGCCCTCCTGGGTGCCAGTGGGCTGGGCCCTCCTCTCTGGGAACCTAGCGCCCCAGAACGTGAGCTTTCTTCTGGAGGCTCACCTCACCTCACTTGACCGGTGGTTCCTTCCAGGACAGAACTCCCAGGAGCTTTCAGATGGCCAGGTCCCAGAGGACTCTGCTAGCCCCTCCTCAGACTGAAGGTAGGTGTCTCTCATCTGCCAAGGTAGAGCCCTCCTGAGGTTGAGCCCTCCTGAGATTTGGGGCCACAAGGGGGTAGAAAACCCATGGCTGAGGTTTCTCCTTGCATCTTTTTAAAAAAATACGTTTTTATTGATTTTAGAGAGAGAGAAGGAGAGGGAGAGAGAGAAAAAAACGTAGATGATAGAGAAACATCAATTGGCTGCCTTCTGCACAGCTCCTACTGGGGATGGAGCCCGCAGCCTGGGAATGAAACTGGCAACCTCCTGGTGCACTGGACGATGCTCAGCTAAGCCAAACCAGCCAGGGCTCCCCTTGCAACTTGCCCAAACAATCCAGAGTTGCCTCCTTTCCTCACCCAGCATGGTGGGATGGTGCCAGTCAGGTGGGGACATTACAGCACTCATCCTGTCCACAGGGGTCCAGGCAGCTGCTGCTGTCCCCATCCTTCTGCCCAACCTGAAGTGTGGTGGCTTTGACCATTGCCTGCGCCAGGGGATCTGCCGGCCCACCCGGCGCCTCTGCAGCCCCACATCAGCTCCAACTCCCAAGTTGTCGAAGAAGCCGAAGATGCAGGCCACAGGGGACATGTTCCCCACCGACTGGAGCCCACCGCATATCAAGTTCCTGACCCCGAGGGTCATGGGGAACATGGTCCCCACCAATTGGACCCCACCGCATATCAAGTTCCTGACCCCGAGGTTCATGGGGAATATGGTCCCCACCAACTGGACCCCACCGCATATCAAGTTCCTGACCCCGAGGGTCATGGGGAACATGGTCCCCACCAATTGGACCCCACCGCATATCAAGTTCCTGACCCCGAGGTTCATGGGGAATATGGTCCCCACCAACTGGACCCCACCGCATATCAAGTTCCTGACCCCGAGGGTCATGGGGAACATGGTCCCCACCAATTGGACCCCACCGCATATCAAGTTCCTGACCCCGAGGTTCATGGGGAATATGGTCCCCACCAACTGGACCCCACCGCATATCAAGTTCCTGACCCCGAGGGTCATGGGGAACATGGTCCCCACCAATTGGACCCCACCGCATATCAAGTTCCTGACCCCGAGGTTCATGGGGAATATGGTCCCCACCAACTGGACCCCACCGCATATCAAGTTCCTGACCCCGAGGGTCATGGGGAACATGGTCCCCACCAATTGGACCCCACCGCATATCAAGTTCCTGACCCCGAGGGTACCACAAGCTGGCAGGGAAGCCCCAGCCCACAGGTGGGTGGGCGAGGTGGTGCCTCAGGGCCTGAGGAGACTATCCTGCTCGGTGCCTGTGGAGTTAGAGCAGGATCCCCAGGATTCAGACCCCAAGGAGGACCTGGCATCACTGGAGGAGCAGTTCTGGAACATGGTGGGCCCAAGTCAGCAGGCTGCGGCTCCAGCGGTGGGAACCCACACCGCGGTAAGCCAGTGGCCTCCTCTCCTCACCACCCCTCTTTGATCACCCCTCCTCCATTACCTCCAAGCCACTACTTTTTGGCCACTCTTCTTTGACCATACCCCAGCTGTCCTTTGATTGCCTCCTTTGGACTGTCCCTCCTCAGTCCTGGTCTTCCCGCAGCCCTTGGGCTCCATAGGCTGGGGTTCCCCTCTCCCTTTATTTCCACTCCTAACTTTTGCTAAGGGATGGCTTGGTGGTGGGGTCCTTCGAGGCTTTCATAGCTGTGGTTGGGATGTGGCCCAGCAGTAGGAAGGACCCTGGAGCCAGGTCAGGGCGAGTCAGGCACAGAGGCTCAAGCTGATTGTGGTCCAGTGGGGCTGGAGTCCTGAAAGGACACGTCTGTGATAAACTCTTGAGGGGAGTGAACTGCTGCTGCTAGGTAGACTGTGGGGACATGTAAGGACATGTATTCTAATAGGGCTTCAGTTGCTTGTGATGGACCAAGATTGTCAGTCACTGAAATGCCCACCACTGGGGAACTGATAAGTTAGCTTCCAGTCACGCATTGGAATGCCCTGGAAGTATTTTTTAAGTTCTCTCTGTAGTAGTGATATGGAATGACCCTCAGACATACTGTTACGTGCGCAGGGCAAAGTGCAGGATGGGCGTATGGTGTGCTCCCCTTCGTGGTGAGAGGGCCCTGTGACGGGTTACTGTTGGCTCACTGTGCACAGAGCAGCTGGTGGCATGCCTGGGGGGGGG